ACATCATCAACATTAGATTTTTTTTTTTTTTTTTTTTTGCTTTAAAAGACATCATCAAGAAAGTGAGCAGACAACACACATACAGAATGAGAGAAAATATTTGCACATCATTGGTAAAGGACTAGAATTGGTATGTCAAATACATGAACAAATCTTACAACTCAATAATAGAATGACAACCCAATTTTAAAATGGGCAAAGGATGTGAATAGATATTTCTCCCAAGAAGATATACAAATGATCAATAACCATTCATTGTTAGGAAAATGAAAATCAAAACCACAATGAGATACCATTTTGTACCCACTAATATGGCTGTGATAAAAAGGACAGATATTAAGGGTTGCTGAGGATGTGGACAAACTGGAGCCCTCATCCACTGCTGGGGGAAATGGAAAATGGTGCACCCACTTTGGAAAGCAGCTGGCAGTTCTTCAAAACGTTAAACTTAGTTACCATCCGACCCAGTGATTCCACTGCTAGTTATCTACCTAAGAGAAATGAAAACATGTCCTCATAACAACTTTCACAGGAATGTTCATAGTAGCATTATGCATAACAGCAAAAACGTGAAAACATCTCACATGTCCATAAACTGCTGGATAAACAAAAGATGGTATATCCATTCTGTGAAATGTTACTTGGCAATAAAAAGAAATGAAGTACTGATGCATGCATGGATGAACCCTGAAAATATTTTGCTAAGAAGCCAGTCACAAAAGACCACATATTGTATGTTTCCATTTATATGACATAAAACAGACAAATCCATAGACAGAAAGTTGGTTAGTAGTTGCCTAGGGCTGAGGAGTGAATGGATTGTGGGGAGGTGTTGAGAGGTGAAAGCTAAGGATGTAGGGTTTCTTTTTGTGGTAGTGACGACGTTCTAAAATTGATGGTGGCCGTGGATGCACAGCTCTGTGACTATACCAAAAACTTAACTCTTACAATTATAAATAAATTGTATAGTATGGGAATTATATTTCAATAAAGCTGTTATTAAATAAAAACAACTCTTTGCCCAGTGGACACTCAAACCTTTCCCCAAGATGGCTGTAAATTATCTTCGGATGGGAATGGGGAGGGCCTCCTTTGGTGCTAGCTCTTGATCCAATAATTCTGACGTCATCTACAAAACATTTACCTAGAAATGAAACTCAGCTCTTTGCTGAAGTTCTATCCTTCTAAACCACCCTTCTTTCCCTTCCTAGGTAGTATTCATGATTTCACTGTAGATGGGGCAGGGGAGACAGACGGATTGATACTACAGAAAAGTTGGCAGCTTTGAAAGTAACGTGAGGCAGCCTGATTTATAGAATACTCTTCATCCATTTCTTAACTGGGGATCTTCAGTCTTCTACACTCACGCCCACTATGTCCTTCAGGGCCTCTGCCTAGCAACTCTCTTCCCTTCCTGTCTGGAGCAAACCAAATTCTACCTAGCATCTCTCAGTCAGAGCTGTTTAGAGTTACACACATCTTTTGTGGCCTTGGTTGTCCCTTCCAAGGCTCCTGAGCTCACGTTCCACATGAAATGTATCAAGATATATGTGTGTGTGTTTGTTATTGAGACAGGGGGCCACCCTGTCTCTCTCTGCCGCCCAGGCTGGAGTGCAGTGGCACCATCATGGCTCACTGTGGCCTTGACCTCCCAGGCTCAAGTAATCCTCCTGCCTCAGCCTCCTGAGTAGCTGGGACTACGGGTGTGTGCCATCAGGCCTAGGTGATTTTTTAAAAATTATTTTTCTAGGCACAGGGATCTCACTATGATGCCCAGGCTGGTCTTGAACTCCCCAGCTCAAGCAATCCTATCTTAGCCTCCCAAAGTGCTGAGATTACAGACTTGAACTATCACACCCAGCCTATCAAGCTTGCTCTTTTTTTCTTTCTTTCTCTTTCTCTCTTTCTTTCTTTCTTTCTTTCTTTCTTTCTTTCTTTCTTTCTTTCTCTTTCTCTCTTTCTCTCTCTCTTTCTCTCTTTCTCTCTCTCTTTCTCTCTCCCTTTCTTTCTTTCTCTCTCTCTCTCTCTCTCTCTCTCTTTCTTTCTTTCTTTTTCTTTCTTTTCTTTCTTTCTTTTAGACAAAGTCTCACTCTTATTGCCCAGGCTGGAGTGCAATGGCACGATCTTGGCACACCACAATCTCTGCCTCCCGGTTTCAAGCAATTCTCCTGCCTCAGCCTCCCATGCAGCTGGGATTACAGGCATGTGCCACCACACCCGGCTTTTTTTTTTTTTTTTTTTTAGTTTTTTTTTTTATAGAAGCGCGGTGTCTCCCTTTTTGTCAGGCTGGTCTCGAACTCCCGACCTCAGGTGATCCACCCGCCTTGGCCTCCCAAAGTGCTGGGATTACAGGTGTGAGCCACCGCTCCCAGCCCAAGCTATTTCTTAGGGAAGATAATTATCTCCCTAAGAAAACTTCTATTGTCAACTGTTAAGACATTAATGTAGCTTTTAAAAATTTTATTTATTTATTTATTTGAGATGGAGTCTCACTCTGTCGCCCAGGCTGGAGTGCAGTGGCGCGATCTCGGCTCACTGCAACCTCTGCACCCCCTGGGTTCAAGTGATTCTCCTGCCTCAGCCTCCCTAGTAGCTGGGATTACAGGCATGAGATATCACACCCAGCTAATGTTTTCTCGTATTAGTAGAGACGGGGGTTTCGCCATGTTGGCCACGCTGGTCTCGAACTCCTGACCTCAAGTGACCCCCGCCTCGGCCTCCCAAAGTGCTTGGATTACAGGCATGAGCCTCGCTATGTTACCCAGGCTGGAGTGCAGTGGCTATTCCCAGGCACGATTCCGCTGTTGATGAGCACTGGAGTTATGACCTGTTTGGTTTCAGACCTGGACTTGTTCACCCCTCCTTAGGGAACCTGTTGGCCCCCGTCTCCGGGAGGTCACCATATTGATGCCCAACTTAGTGTGGACACCACATCAGCATAGCTCACGACAGACCAGAACTGCTGAACTCAAGCGATCCTCCCGTCTCAGCCTCCAGAGTAGCTGGGACAACATCCTCAGGCTCCGCGCGCTGGGCCTTTTTTTTTTTTTATAGGGAGAACAGTTCAATGAACTCCGTGTACTCATCACCCCAGCCCCCAGCTTCAACAATTATCTTTTCCTTTCATTTTTATCTTTCTTTTGCCAATCTTGTTTTCAACGAAGATAAATTCATCTCAGTTACTTTTTATTTTTATTTTGTGGGCTTTTAACATAAAAATACAGATGCTGCCGTCAGAGCAAGGCATCGCAACCTTCTGTTCTTCCGCAGCGCCAGGAATCGAGGGGGAGGCATGGAGCGCGGGAAAGCAACCGAGAGAGGCAAAGGAATGGAGCGCGCGCCCCACCCCCGCAACCCCACCTCGGAGCCAGCGGAGGGCGGAGGGCGGAGGGCGGCGCAGAAGCCGCTGGTTGGGGTGGCGAGGGAGGGGAGACCCGGGAGCCGAGGGCAGGGTCCCTGCCGGTGTTGGGGCGCCACGGCGCGCGTGGCTAGAGCGCAGTGTCGGGCGCGAGGTCCTGCAGCGCCCCCTCGCGGGAGTAGAACTCGTCGATCACGGCCTGCGGAATGCGCTTCAGCATCTCCTTGGGGAAGATGCGCAGCAGCTTCCAGCCCAGGTCCAGCGACTCGAACACCGAGCGGTTCTCGTAGGGGCCTAGGGACAGAACGGGATTCCCGGGAGTGGTAGAAATGTGTGTGGGGCGGGAGGAGGGTGAAGAGTTTACTGGCTCCACGCCAGCGACGCGCCTTACCCTGGTTGATGAAGTTCTTCTCAAACTTCTGCAGGAATTCCAGGTAGAGCAGGTCCTCAGAGGTGAGCGCCTCCTCCCCAACCACTGCCTTCATGGCCTGCACGTCCTTCCCGATGGCATAGCAGGCGTACTGCGGGAGGGGCAAGCCGTCGGGGTGTCCGCTGCGGGCTTACCACGGGAGTCCAGTAGCCCCCCACCTGGCTCTGCTGGGACCCCGTTCGGAAAGGAATTTTGACAGGAGAAAAGCTCGTCCTTCAGATGGGGCTCAGACCTTCAGCTTCTGAAACTAGAGGACCCACCAACCCTGGACCCTCTCCTCCTTACCAGCTGGTTGGAGACATCTCCATGGTCCTTTCTTGTCATGCCCTCCCCAATGGCTGACTTCATCAGCCGCGACAGGGAAGGGAGCACGTTGATGGGGGGGTAGATCTGAGGGAGAAGAAAAAGGAAGTGGTGGAGAGCAGGACTCAAGCTTTGCTCCCCCGTCCCCAAATTGTTCTCAGGAGGAGCTCCTCATTTATTCTACATTCCGAGGGGTCAACAGGCACACCCACCCTCTCTTATCTCCCACAAAGTCTAGGGCTTGGGCATGCAGCTGTCATATGTGGCCCTAGACAGAACAGTGGAGGGGGTAGATGACATGGCATTAGTTAATAAAAGGCTCAGTATTTCAAAACTTTTGATAATGTGGACAAAAACCTCTTTGAAGCTTAATGGTTAATAGCTGAAAAAAACAAAAACAAAAACAAAAACCTGCCAAGCCAAGAGAAAAGCGTCATAGGGGTCGCCTTTAACCTATACACAGGACAGATGTGTGTCAGCCGTTGTTTTCTGTCCACCAAAGCAAATAACTGGAAAGGGAAGGGAAATAGTATTTACTATCTGCCAGATGCTGTCTATATGCCAACTCATTTTTATCCTCCACAACGCGTCTGGATGATATATTTGATTATTCCCATTTTATGGATGAGGAAACCTAGGATCCAAGAGATGAAATTATCTTCTCAAGATCCCAGAGCCAGGTAAGCCAGATTCTGCTCAGGCCTGTCTTCTGTCTGTGAACCATGCAATCTTCCCTGTGGCTGTCTCCTGTTTGGGGTTCGCTTTGACTGGCCCCTCCTAATTCATGCCTGGGGGCAGTGGAACATCTGTTCCTCAGTGTTTCTCTGGGTTGAGAGCAGGAAGTGGGCAGGGACAGGGCAGTACCTGTCTGTTGTGAAGCTGTCTGTCCACGTAGATCTGTCCCTCGGTGATGAAGCCCGTCAAGTCTGGGATGGGGTGGGTGATATCTACAAGAAAATACAGGTCTCAGTGTGGGTAGGGCCCAGGTCTCCAACCACTCAGGGCCACCTGGGTTCTGTTTCCCTCATGAGAGTGATAGCAGTGTGTGGGGGGCATGGATGGTGGAGGAAAGGGCCGTGTCTATCTCGATGGAGGAAAAGTGCTGGTGCACATCTGTGCAAAGCAACGTGGGCTCTTTAAGTGTGTGGTTGGAAAAGGGAGGGCAGGGGAGCTCTGGAGGGTAGTGGGCTGTGAGGAGGCTACCGTCATTGGGCATGGTGAGGATGGGGATCTGCGTGATGGATCCGCCCCGACCCTCCACGCGGCCCGCCCGCTCGTAGATGGTGGCCAGGTCTGTGTACATATATCCAGGAAAGCCTCGGCGCCCAGGCACCTCCTCTCTAGCAGCAGAGACCTGCAATATCCATGGGCATTGGGGTAAGAAAGGGGGTGAGAGGCTGAAGCTAGGAAGGGTGGGTGGGAGTTCAGTGACCCTGTGAGAAATGGAGTGGGGGGCAGGGGAGGAATGGCCAGGCTGAGACCAAGCCCTGGAACTCATGGGAGTGGGGCAGGCTTGGGTGGACCAGCTCCCCTCTATTTGCAGGGTGACCCTCTGGGGTGTCAGGCTTAGGGAGGGGTAGAGAGGAACCTGACACCCCTTGCTAGCCAGCTCACCTCCCGCAAGGCCTCTGCGTAAGAACTCATGTCCGTCAGTATGACCAGCACATGCTTCTCACACTGGTAGGCAAGGAATTCAGCAGTGGTCAGCGCCAGGCGTGGGGTGATGATCCGCTCGATCCTGGAGGTGTGGCCAGGTGTTGAGAGAGCCTGGAGCCTGGGCTAATGCTCCACATAGCCCGGGGGCTGAGTGCAAGGTGAACTGGGAAGCTGGTGTTGTGCATAGTGGCAGAGGAATGGATAAGATGAGCCCTTGCCCCCATTCCCTAGGCCAGGACCACAGTTCCCGGGAGTAGGCAGACTCCAACACACACCTTGCCTACTGTCTAAGGTAGGAAAGGGGACAGAGGCTGAGGCCAAGAGGCAAGTTGGGTGGGAAAAGCCAGGCAGGGCCAGGACTTTGTCTGGTGAAGATGAGAGTGACTTTTGTCCCCTGCGGGCTGAAGGGGAAGGACTCTGGCATATCACCCTGTAGATGAGTTGGGGGCACCTGCTTTACCTCTATCTTACCCTAGGGCACCCACACTTGGGTCAGCTGGAGCACTCTCACCCCACATTCTCTGGATGGTTTTGTCCCTCTCACTGCTCCTCTCACTGTCCCTTTCACTGTTCCAAGCACACCTAATGTCCCTGTCTCTATGCTTGCCAGCCCTACAAACCCTTCCCACGTGGAGCGCTCCTGAACACCATACCTTGGCTTCAGGCACTCTCAGTTTCCAGCTTTGGGGCTGTGGCTCTTCCCCCTGGGGATGTCACCAACACCTCTAGAATTCTATTATCTGCTTTCTGGAGTACCCTCCAGAAACACCCGGGACAGTTTATTAGAATTGTTTTCATCCACCTGGCCCCCATATTTAAACTCCCATTTTCTATACTTTTAAAATAGCAGTTTTTCTAAACAAATGTTTAGGGAAATGATCTCCTTGGGGTGACTTTGTGGATGTGACACAGAGATAAGGAGCCCTGAGTTGGGATGGTGGCTGGACATGGGTTGTGGGAAGAGCAGAGGGCACAGGCAGCAGGCAGAGTCATGGTCTGGCTCCCTCTGTCTGTGGGTTTTTCCTAGCCCTTCCTAGGAGGCTAGCCTTTCCTAGCCCTTCCCAGGCCTCAGTTTCCCCATCTACACAATGAGGACTGTTCTCCCAGCTATGGCCCGTGGCTGTAGTTCTGGGATGCCCTGGAGCCCTGGCGCTCTAGGTCTTGGAAGGGGACAGGGTCTGCCCACCTGAGGGCAGTTTGGGCCTCAGGGGAGAGCTCACGTGGGGTCGTTGGCCAAGTTCAGGAAGAGGCAGACGTTCCCCATGGTTCCATTCTGCTCAAAGTCAGACTTGAAGAATCTGGCTGTCTCCATGTTCACCTGGATACACAGCAGGGTCGGCTGGAGGTAGGGCCCTGTGACCTGAGGGCAAGGCCCGATCCCTCCCAGCTGTCCTCAGGAAAGCCTGTGGACTGACCAGCTACCAGTCGCTAGGCACCATGGCCACGGGGTGGTGACCCTGGGGCTAGGAAGGGCAGGCACTGGGTTTGCTGCCCCAGTCCTCACAGGGCCTCGTCAGATGCCCCTGGAGAGGCTGAGACTTCTTTAAGTCCAGCTCTGCTCAGTGCCATCCCCACCCCTCCTGTCACCAGCTGCTGCTCTGCCCACCTCCCTGGACTCCCAGGCCTCCCCTTCCTGAAGCTATCTTTTCTCCCCAAATGCCCTGTCTTCCCCTCCTTCAGGCCACCCAGGGCCCATCTTACCACTGTGATTGCCTTTGGGACACCCTGAGGGCCACATGGCCCTGGTCACTGCTCCCATCCTCACCCCTCCTGGCTGGCCGGGACACTGATGGCTTCCCCATCAGATCAGGTCATGCCAGGGGCTGAGGGAGACAGGCTGCCTGCTCCCAGCCTCCAGAACGTGCCAGTCTGCTAAGTCCCTCACCCCCATGGCTGCAAAGACGATGGCGAAGTTGTCGTCGTGGTAATCCAGCACAGCCTTGGACTTCTTCACCAGCCCCGCCTGGCGGCAGATCTGAGCGGCAATCTAGGGCAGAGTGGATTGGGTGGGAGTACGTCACAGTCGGAGCCGACGCCCGCCCCATTGAGCACCACTGCTCACAGCCTTTAGTGGGAGGGATCCAAGTCCAGAGAGGTGAAGGGGCTGCCCCAGGTGCTACAGTCTTTCTTGGGGTGGAGGATGGGGGCTATTGTGCGGCTGCTAGTGGGCTGGGGGTGCCTGGTACGAGAGGCAGGACAGAGTAACAGTCCCAAAGAGCAGCTGCCTCCGTACGGGTCTGGGCACCTTGGCATAGGGCAGGGTCATACCCTTCCACAGCCTGCTGGGGGGCTATCTGGGCACAGAGTTGCCCTGGGCCTGCAGTGTGTGGGCCTCCAAGACACCATGCCCAGAGCCAGGAAGGAAGGGTCACAGTAGGGTGGGGGCACTTATGCCCTCTGATCGCTCAGGCCATTTTGAGTGGTCAGGGTGCTGGGTGGCTGGAGGAGCATCTCGAGACCTTGTCACACCAGCTGCTCTGAGAGGAAGCGGCTGTTCACTGTGGTGGTTGAGAGAAGCGGGAGCGGGTAGTAAAGATGAGTGCAGGGACAGTGGTAGGGGCTGTAAGCTCCCCTGAGCAGGACTTTCTACTCTGGGAGCTCCCCATGGGCTCCCTCGCTTGGGGCAGCCTGAAGATTGGACCGGGAGGAAATCTTGTGCAGTCCTGAGTCCGTGAGCTGCCTGGGGACAGCTGCCAGTCTTGATACAGGTGACCCCAGCCCCGCCAGCCCCTGCCTGCTTGGCACAGGAGCCATCCTCACTGGCCCAGCAGCCCAGCCACTGCTCTGTCCCTCCCCCAGCCATGCCTGCTGGCCATGGAGGCCTCACCTCATTGTGGGGGAGCCCGGCTGCTGAGAAGATGGGGATCTTCTGGCCGCGGGCAATGCTGTTCATGATGTCAATGGGAGAAATGCCCGTCTGAATCATCTCTTCGGGGTAGATGCGGGAGTGCGGGTTGATGGGCTGGCCTGGGAGAGGGCGATCACAGAGCCATGCTCAGGGGTTCAAACCCTTCCCTGACCTCCTCAACACTGACCCCAGACTCCAGAGCAGCACTGTTTGACGGGCCTTCCGGCGATGATAGAAACGCACTCTGGCCGTGCTGCCTGATGTAGCCCTAGATACAAATGGCTACAGAGCACATGACATGTGGCTCTGAAATGGGACTTTATTTCTATTTGAATTAGTTCAAATTTAAATAGCCACAGGCCAAGTGCTACCTTGGACAGCGCTGCCCTCGTGCTTTGGAAGTGGCAGGCAGGGGGAAACTCAGGCTGAGGCTCTAGGGCCTAAGGGGGCAGAGCCCTCATCACCACCTCCAGGTACTAGTGCAGGGTTCGGAGGGCCTGCGAGTGACTCAGCCTCCTGTCTGAGCAGATGAGTCTTCTGTGCTTTGCCACTGACTTTCTGTGTGGCCTGGGGCAAGTCATGGGTCCCCACAGGCCTCCAGCATGTCCTCAGTAAACAGGTGGGATAGGGTTTGAGGCCTGGGGAAGGTGCCCACTTGAATGGACGAGAGCTGGCAGAGCACCGCAGCCCACTCTCAGGATTGTGGACAGGAAGCCAAAGGCAGGGGCATGATGGCCTTGGGGCAGGCATGGAGCACTGCCCAACGATGATGGCATTTTACAGAGGATGGACATGGAGTGCTGATGGCAGTGTTGGGGTTCAGTGGAAGATCTGGGGATAGAGACACCTTTGCTGCTCTCCCATCACATCTGATCTGCTCGTGAGTCTGGGCAGAACTTCCAAGAGTGGGGAAGGTGTTAGGGCTTGGCCCTGAAGCCATCCAGAGCCTCCAGTCACTCACCATTGATATCCAGAAAGTCCTCCGCCATGACCACTGGCCCCTTGTCAATGGGCTTGCCGGAGCCATTGAACACCCGACCTGAGTGTGGGTGAGGAGTGTTAGAGGGTGCTCAGGCTAGCCCTGTGTCCCTCACTGCTGCCTACCCTCCACACCACCACCAGCTCCCTCCCATTCCCCAAAGGAGTGTCCCGTGTCCCCCTCCCCTGCAGCCCACAGGTAGCCCAGAGAGCCAGCTACAATGACTGTTCCTGTGAGAGTCTTCCTTCCTCTCCTGGAAACCTTTACAGGCAAGGCCTTGGCCCAGGACAATGACTCTAATGGGGGATTCCAGGACTCGAGAGAGGAGAGGGCCAGGCCAGGTCTTGGGAGAGAATTAGGGGATATTCAAGGCTTAGCAGTCCCTTTCAGCCTGGCTCCAAATAGGTGGCTACCTACTGTGTCTCTGGTCTATTGAACCCACCTTCCTCATTGATTGAACACCTGTATGTCAGACCCTGTGCTGGGGTCAGGAATCAGAGAGAAGAAGACACACCCCAGACCTCAAAGAGCCCACCAGGGAGACAGGCATATAAACAGGAAGTGACGGTATAGTGTGCTGAGGGCTTGGTCAGAGAAGCTGGGCTGGGAGGTCAGAGGAGCACCTCCATCCCTTCTCCTTCCTGTCCCTCACCCAGCATGTCCTCTGACACCGGAGTTCGTAGGATGTCCCCTGTAAATTCACAAGTGGTCTTCCTGGCATCGATCCCTGATGTCCCTTCAAACACCTGTGGGAACAAGAGAGAGTTTCTCCACTAAGGGGCCTGCTGGAGGGAAGAGGGCTAACCTTTCTGGACATGTTTTGTGTTCTCAGGGAAATAGACCATTTCCTGCCTTCAGAGTTTGTAAGACAGTGTGGGAACTTTATGGGTTAATTCATTGATTTAATTAGCCAATGTCCCATTGACCCCACTCACCTGAACAATGGCCTTGGTGCCAGCCACCTCAAGCACCTGCCCGCTCCTCTGAGTCCCATCTGGGAGGGTGAAGTGGACGATCTCCGCATACTGCGCAAACTGGCAGGAGGGGAGAGCAGCCATGTGACAGTGAGACCAGAGGCAAAGTCTCTTCTCCTCCTCCGGCCCTCCCTGACCCAGTCCCAAGCTGTTCTCTCCCCTCTGGTGCCCAGACACTTGTGGAAATGAACTCGAGGGGCTGGGAAGTGAAAGTCTGAATTCTGTTTGGGAGGCAGTTGCACCCACTTTGGAGTTGCAAGACCAGGTTAGAATTGAAACTCTGAAGCTTAGTAGCTGCCTGACCTTGTGGAAGTTACTTTACGATTTCAGTAACTCATTAAATACGTAAGTCATAAGTAATGAGCTTTAGTTTCCTCATCTTTAAAAATGAGGATAATAATAGTATCTACTTTCCACAGCTGCTTCAGGGAAGAAATGAGATACTATATGCAGATCCATTAGCATGGTGCCTGGCACTTTGTAAAAGCTCAGTAAAGATGTAGTAATGATTGGGCTGCCTCGGGTTCTGGACAGCGTATCTGTTTCTGCCCCTGTGGACTAGGGGTCAACACACTGGCAAAGTGCTTGCCTCTGCTGAGGCACCAGGAGAAAGATGCTCTGCTCACAGGTGTCTTTCAGTACCAGTGGCATGGGACTAGAATTGACTTATGTAGTCCTTCCAGGGATCAGGAATTTTAAAAATCAGGCTAATATTCAGAACATATACAGAACTCTTAGGCTGGGTGTGGTGGCTCATGTCTGTAATCCCAGCACTTTGGGAGGCTGGGGCGGGCAGATCACTTGAGGTCAGGGGTTTGAGACCAGCCTGGGCAACATGGTGAAACCCTGTCTCTACTGAAAAAAGAAAAAAAAAAAACAAAACACATATATTGCCAGGTGTGGTGGTGCACACCTTTGGTCCCAGCTACTCGGAAAGATGAGGCTGGAGAATCGCTTGAACCCAGGAGGCAGAGACTGCGGTGAGCTGACATCGCACCACTGCACTCCAGCCTGGGTGATACAATGAGACTCCATCCAAAAAAAAAAAAGAACTTTTAAAATGCAATAATCAAAAGGATTTGATCAAAGAATTTGAAAAAACATTTCTCCAAAGACGACATACAAATGGCCAATAGCCACAAGACAAAATACTCAACATCAGTAGGTATTAGGGAAATGAAAATCAAAACCACAATGAGACAGATGCCACTTCACACACCCTAGGATGGCTATAACAAAAAAGATAGGCGAGGTGAGGTGGTTCATGCCTGTAATCCCAGCACTTTGGGAGGCTGAGGCACATGGATCACATGAGGAGTTTGAGATAAGCCTGGGGAACATGGTGAAACTCTGTCTCTACACAAATACAAAAATTAGCCAGGCATGGTGGCAGGCACCTGTAGTCCCAGCTCCTTGGGAGGCTGAAGCAGGAGAATCCCTTGAGCTGGGGGTGGGCAGAGGTTGCAGTGAGCTAAGATCACACAACTGTACTCCAGCCTGGGCAACAGAGCAAGACTCCGTCTCAATAAAATAAAATAAAATAAAATAAAATAAAAAAGATAATAACAAGTGTTGTTGAGGATGTGAGGAAATTTGAATGCTCATACAGTGCTGGGAGGAATAGAAAACAGTGCAGCCACTTTGGAAAGCAGTCTGGCAATATTCATAATAGCCAAAAGTGAAAATAACTCAATGTCCATCAACTGATGAATGGATAAACAAAATATGGTGTATTCATACAGTAGAATATTATTCAGCATTAAAAAGCAAGAGACTGCCCTGGAACCCATGGGGGCAGGCAGCCAGCTCAGGGGGCGGCCCTGGAATGGGGCTATGGTGGTACATGGGGACCCGGCTATGGTGGCTGCGGGGCTAGCGAAAAACTTCTCAAGATCCTTGGGAAGCAAAGGAGGATTTCATAAGAACAAAACGGATGGAGGGGAGAAAACCTATGGTGGCTGCGAAGGCCCTGATGCCATGTATGTCAAATCGATATCATCTGATGGTCATGAATGTACTGTAAAAAGAGAACATACATCAACACCAGGCACTATAAAATCTATGTTGAGTGGCCCAGATCAGTTTGCTGAGAACAAAACCAACGAGGTCAATTTTAGAGAGATCCGTTCACATGTGCTATTAAAAGTATGTTTGTATTTTGCGAACAAGTTTCACTAGACTACCAGCTCCGCCAAGATTCCTGAATTCCCGATAGCACCCGTAATTGTGTTAGAACTGCTGCTGGCTGCCACCTTCCTAGATTGTTAGAAAAAAAAAATTATAATCAACTGTTAACTCTTTTCAGTAGTTAATACCCATAGTTCAGTTAGTAATTTTTTCATATATAGTGTGTTGCCTGTATGCAGTTGAATTATATAAAGTTCATTGCAAAGCAGATTTGTTTTTTGCATAGCAGAGTTGAAATTTGTTTGTTACATCAACAAATTAAGGACATTTTCACAAACTGAGAAATAAATATGCCAATTCATAAAAAAAAAGAAGTACAGATAGATGCCGCAACATGAATGAACCTTGAAAATATTATGCTAAGTGAAAAAAGCCAGGCACAACAGGCCACATATTACACAGTTCTATTAATAGAAAATGTCCAGAAAAGGCAACTCCATAAAGACAGAAAGTAGATCAGTTGGTGCTCAGGGCTGGGAGAGGGAGGACTGGCGTGAGAACTAATGGACATGGGGTTTCTTTTTGAGGTGATGACAATGTTTTGGAATTTGATCATGATGATGTTTGCATAACTCTGTGAGTATACTAAAAGCCACTGGATTCACAGTACGCAAATTATATTTCAATTTTTGTAACACATCAGGGTCCCAGATAGTCAGGTGGCTGAGACAGGAGGATCACTTGAGGTCGAAGTTGCAATGAGCCATGATTATGCCACTGCATGCCACTGCATGATCATGTCCCACTTCAGCCTGGGTGACAGAGTGAGACCCTGTCTCAGAAAACCAAACCAATCCAAAAACCAAACCAACAAACCATCAGGCTATCCCTCCAGGACCACAGGCAGCACATGGGCAGGTAGAGCTTTGTCCCGGGGAATCCCTGAGCTCTGCTGTCTGTGCATGCTCTGGGAGCCACCCAGTCCCAGTCTTTACCCACAGCTAGAGGAGACCACAGACTTGGCCAGGGAAGCTGGGCTAGCAGAACACACCATCCCCATTGACACTCATCACCAGCTGTCATAAGCACCAAGAGATCTAAGCCCCGTACCTGCACCTTCTTCCTGGAAAAAGTCCTGGAGCAAACGCATTGCATCCCCTAGGCTCCCTCACCTCACTTCCCAGGTGGCTGATTTACTCCCGGGAGTAAGCCATAATTTTAATCCAACTAAAATTAATGCTTCCAGGCACAGTGGCTCACGCCTGTAATCCCAGCATTTTGGGAGGCTGAGGTGAGAGGATTACTTGAACCTAGGAGGTTGAGATCAGCCTGGGCAACCCAGCGAGACCCATCTCTACAAAAAACCAAGCCAAACCCAACAAAAACCCAAAACAACAAACAAACAAACTATTGATGGTAAAAAGACAACACTTTCCTGCCAAATTCCTAATATTCTGGGAAATTAAAGCACTCTTCTGAATTACCTTTTGTCATTAGAGGCAATCAAGACTGAAATAACAGATTATCTGGAAAAGAATGAGGAGGTCATCCTTTTGTGCCACGACCTATGAAAGATATAAAGCTGTACCATGTTCTCTGACCACAAAAGTAAGTTAGAAATCAATAACAACAGCAAAAAAAAAAAAAAAAAAAAAAAAAAGGCAGAAAAACCTCTTACATTTGGAAGAAAAGCATTCTAAGTATAGAAGCATTTATATCAGAATTAGAAAACATTTAGCTCCCGTAATAGTGAGAAGCTGTATATCAACATATGTGTGAAGCATTTAAAGCTTTAAATGATTGTATTAGATAAGAAAAATAGTTGAGGCCGGGCGCGGTGGCTCAAGCCTGTAATCCCAGCACTTTGGGAGGCCGAGACGGGCAGATCACGAGGTCAGGAGATCGAGACCATCCTGGCTAACACGGTGAAACCCGTCTCTACTAAAAAAATACAAAAAAATTAGCCGGGCGAGGTGGCAGGCGCCTGTAGTCCCAGCTACTCAGGAGGCTGAGGCAGGAGAATAGCGTGAACCCGGGAGGCGGAGCTTGCAGTGAGCGGAGATCGCGAGAGCGAGACTCCGTCTTAAAAAAAAAAAAAAAAAGAAAAATAGTTGAAGAAGCTAAAAGTATGCAATGTGAGAAGTCAGAAAAAAGAAGTCTACTTTCTTTCCCAAAGAAAGTAGAGGAAATAAGAGTAGAAATTATTAAAACAGAAAACAAATATATAATAGAGAAGACCAACAAAGCCAACTGGTTTTTTGAAAAGCTGACTAAAACAGACAAATTGCTGGCAACACAGATTAAGAAATAAGAAAGGCATGAATAAATAATTGTTGGAATAAAAAAAGTCACAACTAGATAAACTGATAATATTTAAAAGATAATGAAAGGAACAATGAACGATTTTATGCAACACATTTGAGAAATTAGATGAAATGAATAAATATAACTCAAACCAAAGCCAACTGAAAATGAAATTGAAAGCCAGAATAATCCTGAAATCTTGAAGATATTAAATAAGCAAAGAAAACACCAGTCCCAGATAGATTTGGCAGTGAGTTCTAACAGTCAAGGAATAAACAATTTGAAACTTAAGCTCTTCAAAGCTGGGAAGAGAAGGTACTGTATTTAACTCATTTTATGAGGCAATTATAGCCTTGATACAAAAATAAAATAATTATGGGAAACTTGTAAGCAATCTCACTCATGAACATGGATGCAAAAATCCTAACAAAATATTAACAAATCCAATCTAGCAATGCATAAAAAAGACCAAGTTGTAAGCCAAAATAGTAAAGAAAATAAATGAAGATAAACATATACACACAAACAGAAATTTTAAAAGACCAAGTTGGGATTATTTTAGAAATGTTAGGCTGGTCTAGTATGAGAATATCTATTCATATAATTCACCTTATTAACAAATTAAAAGA